GGTTCAGGCGCATTGAAAAGTAAGAAAAGATGAAGACTGAAGGAGGACGTAGTCACGGCAGGGTGTTGCCACTGGCATGCCTCAGCAAACTCATATGATGGTCACTTTTGATGGTGAAGGTCATGGTAAGGGTGAGGGTTACTTCTAATTGAGAAGATAAATGTCATCAGGATTGTGCCTGGTTATCCTTCTCGAGCACAAGTACTCCTTTCCTTCGTACTGCATCCTTTAGTTAAACTCGCCCACGTCTACCTCACATCGCACAGCTGCATTTCAAATAGGCAGTCTTCAGGCTATGACCACGAGGCATCCCAAAATCCACCTTTCTGTCACATGGACTAGCCAACTCCATTCCACACGTGACCCCTCTTGCGGTAATCCGTTATGTCTCAGAAATGCACTCAATGCAAATGTCGGACATGTAATATGATAATCCCCTACACATACATCAAACAACCAACCTCCGTTCAAGTTTTCCAAAGACCTTCACCGATTCTTACACTATCCTGTTTTCATTTTTCTGGTTTGGGCCATGAAGACTTACTTCTACTTAATTGATTTGACTAACATGAGAGTGAGTGGAGTGACAACGTCTTGCAATCTCTCTAACGGCTCCAGCCTGCTTTTAGGTCTGCAGTAGCTGGCATGAATGACGACTTCAATTCCAAACCCCTTTTTAATTTGTCCCCAATCCCCTGGTTTATGTACTATGCCAGAGGGATTCTTAGACATCCACCTTCCCACCTCCTCACTCCTTATTCCTCCACCCCTTCAGAAGACTACTTTACCACCTCTTCCTACAAAATACCTACTTGCCTTTGTGCACGCCCATCGTTTGATCTTCAATCATGTTCCATTTTGCCCTTCATAAACCAAAATCCCCAAGTCCTTTCCTCGAACACTTTTGCACTGTATGGCTCTCACCACGATTTATCCTAAGGACCACCATATTTGTATTTTATAGCTTTAATGTCGCCTTAAATGTAAACGAGAGGCTTGATTATTGTATGGTTCTGTAATTATAGGGCGGTCACATGGGATCAAAGGAGGAAAGGAGTGGTTTGGGGGAAGGAGAATGTTGTCACGCTATTACCATGAACATACTTGTCTACATATACATCTTCATCTCAATAATTATCCTCTCTGCTCCTCTGATGCTGCTTCTCCATGCCATTAATGTTATCTTCCCTTGACATCATTATCAGCATTATCAATGACAGTAGTAGTATACCTTGGAAGAAGGGTTGTGTGGTCTGTGAACACGAAGACAAAGTATAGAAGAGATGTTGTGACGTTTAACTGATATTCTTCAAGCAAATTGAAGTTCCCCTACTACTGCAGTGGTAAGTCACTCCGGTGGCATTACGGTTTATATTGAGCATAGTTGGAAGGTAATACCGTTAAAATTGAGACCGGATGCTTGAAAGAGGGCTTTTGTAATGGTGAGGAGTGTGGGTTTAAAAGCACATTTTCCCCTTAATTTTACATGACTATATGCCATTAGCCTTTCTGTATATGTACAGTTAAGACACATCTAAATCCAAGCACCCTTTAACGCCTTTCGAGTGGGAGGAATAAGAGGGCTTAAAGGCCAAAGTTTGTGTTTTTAATGGTTATTCAAGCAAATTTTGCTAAAATTGATTTGCTTTTAGATTAAAATTACACTGGACTGCTTTATCAATAAGGGGCAGAATAAATTAGCAAAAATAATCAATGCGACCATTTTGAAAAGAAAAAGATTGAAATCACAGAGTAGGCTCCTCAAATGCCACACTTTATCATTGCTTGAACGTGCGTAGTAACGTGATCTTGTAACCTCAATTAGTGTGAAATCCTTAGTACATAAAAACACTTCAGGAGAGACCCTCTTCACTTAAGCAGGTTTTTCCTTTTTCTGGTCCTTTTTGTATCAAGGATAATCGTTTTGCCTGAGGCATCTGAAATAAGAAATCCGACATTACATAAGCGTATCGAAACAAAATGTGGTAACCTAAACCGTTCTTACCAACCCTCGAATTTCCCTACCTCTATTCTGGTTTGAGCTTTTCCAGTGACCAAAACTAATGTTTAAAAATGGCAAGATATGGCTATATGTCAACACAGGTGAAGCGCCTCGTCGAAAATAATAAGTGGCCAATCACCTTACTTAACAACGGCCTCAGACTAATGTTCCAGTTCCATGACCCACTACTTATTCTGGAAGACTGTTTGTTATTTGCTGTTCGTGTTTTTGACGTCTGTCGGCACTTAGCCAGTATCAAATCGGGTATCCTGGCATCATCCATATGGAGTCCTTTACTGGGAGTTTGGCTCACTAGCCACCCATGCACGAAGATTTTGCCAATTATATTAAAAGCCGTCGCCATTCCTAACGAATCACAAAGATACCTCAGACACCCCAGCTGGTATTTGACCTCAGGCAGCTTTGCTTTTGTCACAAATCCACCGCTACTGCGCAGGCTTAATCCTTAGTGTATCTTATCTCGTTTCGTTAGATGCCTTTGCAAGGGGATCGGAGATAGCGCCTGCGATTCCTTTTACGACCACCAACACGCCAACATCGACTCCAGAAAATGCTGGTCACGGACAGCAGAACAGTTTGCTTTACAAAAACTCCATTAATTTTGCCGCCATCGTGCTATTATGCATATTCTCCCCCAGCCGTTTCAACTTCAATTAACAGGCAAGCGTAGCAGTTCCTTGACAAACCCAAGCAAGTACAACTGAAGTCATGAGAAGAAGGGGTGAATGCCGATGTCTTGCAAAGGTTTTAACTGACGTACCGTACAACTTTGAGTGAGTACTTACTGCACCGCTAATTATCTGCAAATGGTACAGAATATGCAAGTTCTCTTCGGCCAAAGCAGTCATGGTTCCAAAGCCATGAAAATAATGGGAAGAAACTGTGTCAGATTCCGGAAAAAATCTAATAGGCACACTGTCCTATACTTCCACGATTACCTCCCAGACCAACAGTTACATCAGCGAAACACTGGGGAACCAGGGGCTCAACAATGAAATTTACTGACAGACGTACCACACCTATGAACTATGCTACATGTAGAACCATCGAGAAACAGTTCCAGGTTGTCCTGTCATGTGTACCAAGTCGGAGAGTGTAAAATAAGCTACAGAGCGGAATAGCGGTAGGCAACTCTGAAAATTCGTCGTTGCTGAAACTTCTACTGGTTATACTAGAGATTTTCCAAAAGTCCGCACTTACATGATGGATTCATGTCTTTCAAGAACGTCTCATTCTCGCTCACACCCTCCTAATTGGCTGCTATCACGTATTAATGCACTTTAAATGCAAAAACACTACGAGGCTAAGTTAAACCAGTTTTCACAATTGCGTGGGTCTAAAACTAGCTCATAACCTTGGAATGCTCTACTAACGGACTGGGCTTTTGCATACACCAATGTTGCTCTATCGTCTTGCTCACTCATTTGTCTCTGCAAGTGCAAGTCTTGCCTATTGACCACTACGTTTGGGAAGTCCGTAAAATCCAAAATCATGCATATAATCTTCAATTTATGCAAAAAATATAGGAGATGAAACAATTTTCTAACGATTTAAGGTAGTGCTAGAAGAAGACATAAAGAATTTGAAAAGAGAGGAGTAGTTGATTAGGCCAAAAGACCCACAAAATTTTCCAGTCATAATTCCTCATTTATCGGTGAGCTCTACATTAAGCAGTTTCCCACCCAGACGGGACTTTAATGGGCCACATTTATTTCAACATTCAGCTACATTTATTACTCTAGGAAGGGTGTTGGCACCCCTGGCATCATCAGTAACTTTATTGCGTCAATTAGGGAAGGGTGAGGGGGGAAAAGAGAGAGAAAAAGACGGGATGCAGGATTTGGACGTAGTGAAGAAGGGATACAAATTGAGGACCAACTTTGTGGGGTAAATGAATGATATCTCGAAAATTAGTAGAAAATAGACATTAAAAAGTGAACAAACGATCGTAGGAAGGCAAATTTACCAGGAGGATATCAGCACCCATCCCTGAATTTCATTGCTAGTATCTATCCCGTTGTATCATAAAACAAGGTGTCACTTTCTCCTTATTCCTCTCCTCTTCACCCCCTTTTCTTCCTCCTAATCCTATCTTCATTGCCAAAATAACTGGATTGAATATTTTGATTATTCTCGTAAAAATAATTGGAAAACCCACTTTTCTTTCTCACTGCTAAACTTCTCATCAGTTTCGAACTGAGAGAGCGGTAATGTTGGCTAGGGGAACGGCGTAGTCCATGCGATGATACGGCTAGAAGGAGTAGAAACAAAACTATTAAAAGGAGTGGGCGCACGATAGAAAATATCTCATGGAATGGTACAAGATCACAACAACTTAAGGTGATGGCTGCCATGGCTAGCACACCCAGTAATTCTCATTCGCTATGCTAAAACGCATGTCTACTGAGAAGGCGCCACATGACCAATAGAAGTGGTGGCTTCCACAAACAGATCTTTCATCTGTCTCTGTCACCGAATTTACACACAGTTGGCATTCTTGTGATCTGCATCAGCAATTCCTCTAATATTGCAAAAAAGGCATATTTTCTAAATATATTTATTAACTAAACTAACTAAATTGTCCCACAACTCACAAATATATTCGATCTGGGAAAGTAGGAAAATTGGCAAATTCTTTCCAAGTCCGCCAAATAGAAATGGATCTATCCTAGAATCTGAAGAATTGCAGTCTTACCTTAGTAGCCAACATGAAATAATTTCCGCTAATGTAAGATTGTATGAGATAACTGCAGTGGGGCCACCGCACTAAACTTAGTCATTTTTCAGAAATGACCATTTATGGAAAT